CATTTCCCCTTCAGCTTGCAAATTTCACTTTGAGCTACTCTGTGTAAGAATTAGTTTGAAGACCTCTTCCAGGAGCTTCTTTTGTGTCACCTCGTTGTGCACTTTGTAATTCTCAGTCCCAAAATGGCTCATTGCCAAGCTCAACAGCAGTGTGCAGCACAGGGAGTGGGGGAAGATGGAACATGAAGAGATTTGAAATAGAAGCATTGATCTCCCAAGCCCACCGTGACTCCCCCAACCCACTCACCTAGCTGGGAGGTGCAGGATCAGGAATTTGTCCACAGAGTGTCCGACTCTCTCTCGTTAGTGCCCCTCCACTATTGTTGACATCTCATATGTATCTTTTATTCATTTCTCTTGAGCAAACATACATATGTAGATATCTATATATGCAGCTTGCAAAAAATCAGGTCCATAGTGCACATATTTTGGTAACCTACTTTTTGAAAACTTTTATTTTGGAATAATTTTAGATATACAGCAGTTACCAAGATAGTACAGAGAGCATGTATTCCATACCCAGCTTCCTCTAAAGTTAACATTTTATATAACCATGGTACATTTTCAAAACCCAAAATTAACATTGATAATATTATTAATTGGTAACCCACTTCTCTAATATAAAATGTATTAATCATTTCCTCATAGAAGCAGGATTTAATAGCAAGCTACGCATGTTGCACAATTTAGATATTTCTCTATTGTTAGCCATTTTGATTTCTCAATTTTTTAAAATTATAGACAGCACTCTGGTGAGTATTCAAGTAGCTAAATCTTTGCATAGATCATTAGTTATATGCTAAGTTAGAATTCTCAGAAATGAATCTGAGATCAAAAGATATCACTTTTAAGTATCTTGATCCATACTGCCAAATTACCCCACAAAAAATATTAATTTAAAGGTGTTCTTATTTTGTATTTAGGTGTGTTCATTGATACTTAGATAGAAGCCAAAGTATGCTTAACAAAAATTTGCTCCAAGGGCCGGCCTGGTGGCACACTGGAGAGCGCGCCGTCTGGGAGCGTGGCAGCGCTCCTGCCGAGGGTTCGGATCCCATGTGGAGACCGGTTCCCTCTCACTGGTTGAGCGCAGTGCGGGCGCAACACCGAGGGTTGCGATCCCGTTGCCGGTCCCCGGTGCGGGCGCGACACCAAGGGTTGTGATCCGTTACTGGTCAGTAAAAAAAAAAAAAAAAAAATTGCTCCAAACTCATATTTATAGATAAGTTATAAATATGAAAAGTATATGTTAACATTTTGCATCTTATGTTTGTTCTCATTGTAAAACTCATTGGGTTTTTTAATGCAAAATTGTGTAGTAGAAATAAACCAGAGTTGGAGTCAGGCTGACCAAGTTGGAGTCATACTGCCATTTCTACAAATCACTTTATCTTTGAGCTTTAATCTCTTTATCTGCAAAATCAGTTGATATACTTTGTTGTGTTGTGAAGATTAAATGCACCAAATAAATGTGAACATGCTTTAGAGAGCCTGGCACAGAGATGCTCAACAAATGTTAATCTCCATGTTCCTTTATTTTCTTCCTCAATCCCTCAGATTCATGATTTTTATGTAGATGAGTTATAAATATGAAAAGTGTATGTTAGTTTTTTCCATCTTACATTTATTCAAGGACCTTTGAAGAGGAGGTTGAGGTCTTAAGAAAGCAACTGTTAGACACCATTACAAATAAAGTAAGGATTGCATATCCATCAAGAAGTCCTCATTAGGTGTCAGTCCTAGAAATTCTGATTGGAAATTGTACTCGTAATTTGAAGCCCAAGACTCCGTAATTAAGACTCAACTCTGTGCAACCGCTATTTTATTCATTATCTCACATAACAAGAAGCACAGAGATTGGGCAGCTAGCTGTAGGTTCAATAGCTGGATGATGCAGATCTACAATGGGGAGCTCAATGGTGTCATCAGGGAACAGGTACTTTCCATCTGTAAATATGAAAAGTGTATGTTAGTTTTTTCCATCTTACATTTATTCAAGGACCTTTGAAGAGGAGGTTGAGGTCTTAAGAAAGCAACTGTTAGACACCATTACAAATAAAGTAAGGATTGCATATCCATCAAGAAGTCCTCATTAGGTGTCAGTCCTAGAAATTCTGATTGGAAATTGTACTCGTAATTTGAAGCCCAAGACTCCGTAATTAAGACTCAACTCTGTGCAACCACTATTTTATTCATTATCTCACATAACAAGAAGCACAGAGATTGGGCAGCTAGCTGTAGGTTCAATAGCTGGATGATGCAGATCTACAATCGGGAGCTCAATGGTGTCATCAGGGAACAGGTACTTTCCATCTATTTGTCATACTTACGTAAGCTTAACTGTAGGACTGGCTCCTCCAGATAACAAGGAGTCTAGAGCAGTTCCAGCCATCACATTGAGACAGAGTGTTGTACAGAGGCAGAAAAGAGTCTTCTGCTGTGCCTCCTGATATCTCCCTGAAGCCCCTTAAAAGATCCCTCCCCCCCAATTTCTCCCCTACCAGTAGTAGGTTTACATACCGTCTTCTAAACCAACTGACGGCAAGAGGAATAAGAATACCTTGACTGGGCTTGGATCCAACAGGATTTATTCTTGCATATGGGAACTTCTGAGTTACATAGAGGAAGGATTAGCCAACAGACCCAGTATTGGCTTTTCCAGCAAAGAAGCAGAGAAGAAAAGGTGTTGGGCAGGTCCCCAACAGTACCTTATACAAAAATGTAACTGGAATATTCAAATTAGGTTTAACCAGTCTTTTAAAGAACCTACTATGTGCCACAAACTAATCTCATCAATGTGAAAGGTAGCAAAAGAGAAAACAGGAATATGATTATTCTTGATAATAACAGCTGTCATTTGTACAAGTTTAAGTTTCAAAATATTTAGTGTGTATATTGTTTTAATTAATTCTTACAGCCAAACTATGTGATAGTTGATATTGATATCCCCCCTTAATAGATGAAGGAGGCAAGACTCAGGAAGACAAAGTGATTTTCTCTGAACGGTGCAGCCAGTAAATGACCCCACCAGAACTCAAACCCATGTTTCATAGGCACAAATCTCCAGTGTTTCTATGACCCCAAGCTACCATTTGAAAAAACAGAATTCAGTTTTAGAAGCTATAAAAGGATCTGCTGAAGTGCGACATTGTGAAGTAAAGATTGTGTGTTCTGCGTAGGGATGAGTCCCAGAAATTGTCTTTAAGGAGAAAGATCTTGAGTTATGCCCTAAAATGGAACTACAGAAATGTCCAAAAAAAGAGATGGGGAAAGGTAAGTAGAGTGGCCTCCTTTAGTTTAACTTTGGAGGTGGTTTCACCAGGACTGGATGGATTCAAGTACTTGAGAACTATCCCCATTCCCACAGATGGCAGCGGGTGAAGGAATATGGTGAGGAAATCTCTCGCTGTTGGGGAGTCTGCAGAGCTTTGCATCAGCTACGTCAGTCATTGGGCAGACGGAGCAAACGTACATGCTGCCCCCTAGTGGCACACCTTGCAGAACACAAAGAACCCAAGTTCCTTAAGTAGAGGTTGACCTGGAAAGTTCCGCCTTCCTAATTTCCTTAGGAGAAGAGAATCCTTATATACATCTTGACTTCTTATCGCCCACCCTCACTTCATGTAAATAATCATCTCCTGATAGTTCATTTGGAAGAGTGGATTTCTGCCTAGATTCCTGATGTCTTAAAATCAAGTTCACCCACTCATTAAGCATCAAAAATGAGTAAAATTCCTTCTTTGTTTTCCACTCAAAAAGATATATTTTAATAAAGAGGCATGTTCGCATGCATTTATTTATTACCCACTATGTGCCAGGAATGGTTGTAAGACCCCTGGGGGTATAACAGTAAGGAAAAAAAAAATAAAAGAAGAGGTAACTGTCTCCATGCACATTACATTCTAATAGAGCAGGGCACAGAAATAAATACTGAACAAGTAATTTTATATTGTGATAAATTCCATGGAGGGAATTAGGATGGTGTGTGATACCGAGTTATCATGGACAATCATGAGAAGTAACAGTGAACTGAAATCTAGAATCTTCTTTGGGAACAGCCCGGAGAGGAGCATTTTAGGTAGAAGGAATATAAATGAAAAGTCTCTGAAGTGGTGAAAAGTTGGGCCACATTTCTGAACATAACATAGGCCTGATTAGAAGAATGACAGGGAAAGTAGAAGAGATTAGCCCTGGGATGGGGTGTGGGGAAGGAGGGAGTGGTGATCAGTGGAAGATTTGAACTTATTTTAAATGCAATGAGGCGAAAGGAGTTTTAAGTAAGGGAGTGACATAATCTGATTAGATAGAGCCAGAATAGCACGGTTGAAAAACAGCCTCCCTAATGCAATACGCTTTCAGCAATAGAGACTGACACTGTGCGTGTCGTTGGTGTACAGTCGCAGGTGAGATCCAGGATCTCAGTTTACTCATCTGTAAAGCGGAAGCTAAGTTTTTATTCAGGAATCTCCTCTCTATTCTGTTTCACTTCTAATTAATAGTGGAAGAAAATCCTATATCTTTACATAGAATCTTATTATTAATAACAATAGCACTTTTGTCATGAGGTGATTAATGATTGCATGTATGTGTGTTTCCCTATTTGTCAATAAAAGGCCATGGTGGGGACATGAAGCCTACTAATGAGGAAAAAACAACTATGAAATCACAAGGATTATTGATAATTTTTGAAAATATTTTCATTTATGTTTGGGAGGGAAAAAATTATTAACAGGAATTTAGTACTCGAAGATGACAAGATTTGGTGAAGGCACCAGGAGATGGTGTAATTTATGTCGAGAGCAAGTGAGTAAAATAATCATCATTATCATCATCATCATCACCTAAATAGTAATAATGGTAACAATAATGTATTTATTCAAAGATTGTGAGGCTTGTTTAAAGACTTGGAGAGAGCAAGGGAAATAGAAAATATCCACTGACTCTAAAGCTCTGTATGTGTATCCCCTCCCCCCGCCACCTGCCCCTATTTTTTCTTCCAGATTCGCAATACCTAACTTGCCGTATGCAAAACTGCACAGAGGCCAACAGAAATAAACCTTTTCCAGGCTACATTGACCCAGACTCTTTGATTGTCCAGGACGATTATGTGTTTGTTCAGGTATGAAAGGTCTACTTCTTTTGATTATCTCAAAAACATTTATTTTTCTTGTTTCTGTGCCAATGGCAGTTCCTTTTGCCTTCTTATACTGCACTAAGAGTAAAAAAAGAAGGAAGAGGGAGGGAGGGAGGAAGGAGGAAAACAGCATTATCTTTTTAATGAAATGAGCATCACTGAGTGAGGAAGCTTCTGTACTCACAGAATATGAATTATTTTCTTTGGGCTGTGTCTGGAAGACCTTATCCACACAGGGTCCTGAGGGCACTGCTCAGAGTACTAGGATTGCCTCCAGAATGATGAAGACTTCCATTCATCCCCTCACCTGCATTCCAAAGAAGCTCCCATCGTCAAAGGAACTGATATGATTTGTTGATCTCTTCCTGTCAGGGAATGGTCATGCAATCAGACCCCTTTCCAATATCTACCTTAAAAGTAGAGCAACCGGAGTGTGAAGGGCCAGCTTGGGGGTGGCTGGAGCTGGTGGGAGGCAGAGGCGAGGGGAGAGGAAGCATCCTGCCTTGTCATGCACTGACTGGGATCAGGATAAAGAGACTTTAGATGAAATGTCTTCAGCCAGGTTCTTACCTCTGAAGAGAGTGGGCAATAGTTTGAGAAGCTGATGTGTCATGAGTGATTAGAAGTGACAGGGAGCAGGTCTGCTTTGCTTCTTTGCAGTATTGCAAGAAAATTTTAGACTTGCTTGGGCAATGCATTTAAAAATTCAGTTATTGCTTTCCTTGTTAAAAATGGCAAAGGTACAATTGCTAAGTAGTTTATATATGTGTGTGCGTCTCTCTCTATATAATATTGCTGCAATTGAGATGCATTCTGGACACTATTATATTTATTTGGACAAGAAATTGTGATTTAGAGCATGCTTTGAGGAAGCAATTGTTTTAAATGCCCAACATCAGCTTATGTACTTATTAAATGTTTCCCAACTGCTTATACACACACCATTTTCTTTTTCTTCAGGGAAATGAGTAATGAATACGCTGATAATTTCAGTGCCAAATTATCAAGTGACATTCAAATGGTTACACATATGGGCTCTGTCTATAATTCATTTCTTTATCACTGCTGCTCCCAGGAACCTGTTCTGGTTCCTAGTAACAGTTTATAGTCTGCATGTGTGATTTACAAATAAGAATCATCTCTGCAGTTAGAATTTCATATACTTGTTACCCATGCCATCACGAACATGATCCTGTGACCCCCCCACGAGGACTAAGAGGTGACCTGGTCACATAATGGTGAAGGTGATAACTCTCTAGTCACCTTCCTAGGAGTCTGATGAACATTCACCCAAAGCATCTGTTGACATTCTGAGTTTGCAAACTCCAGCTGACATTCAAAGTCCAGGTATTTATATGGGTTAAGAGTGGCTACAAAAGAAAGAGAGATTGGCAATGACACACTTGACACTGTGCCCTGCCTGGTGCTCCTGCTGAGGTGGAGACCACGCTCCTTCTCGCCTTCCCTCCCATCCACTAGAATTCACTGGGCTGTCTGTCCTGGACAACCATGAGGCAGGAAGCTCACAATTCTGGGAGATAGAGACCTAGAGTGAATTTGAACTACAACCCTGGCTTGGCTTTCTGTCTAATATGCCAGCACTTCTGTCTTTAGACATGTCCATAGTCATCAACGTGACACCATCAAACTGGAATTCAGTGCCCAGAGATGTGAGGCTCCAGCTCGGCCACTGTGTGACCTGGTCCACTTCCTTCTGATAGGGCATGAGGACCTGTTTGTATGGCTGTAGACTTAGTGCCAGAGAACTGGGCTGCTGATGACCATGAGCCAATACACCCTAAGGCACATATCTTTTGAAAAAATAACTGAAAATGTTTCCTGGTTTCCGAGCCAAGTGCACTGTCGAAGGTTTGTATTTTTGTCCAGTAGGTTCAATGTGGGCTTCTGACTAACTCGCGTACATGGTGTAAGTTGTTTCCAAACTGAAAGCCGGTTCTTCGTAGTCGTCCACAGCAGGCATTGATGCTGTGGTGCTGGCAGCGTCCTCCTTCCAGTCAGGTGCCTGTTCTTCTGTGACCTGTAGTGGTTATAGTAGCTCGTCTTACAACCTTGTCTTTATGATCCAGCTGACATCAGGAGGACGCCCACATTACTACGTGTCCTACCGGAGAAATGCATTTGCCCAGATGAAGCTTCCCAAATATGCTTTGCCCAAGGTATGGCTTTGAGTTGCTTTCTTCATTTCACTGTTTCTTCTGACTCACTTAGTCCTGCTTCCACCCCTTCCCAAGGGCCCTCTCAGTCTCTCATACTCATGTCTTTCTTTTCACTCGCATCTCTGTTTCTCAAGTTCACTTTGCTTTACCCTTTTTTTCCTTGCCCTCATTACGCTTCTCTCTCTCTCTCTCTCTCTCTCTCTCTCTTTCTCTCCCTCCCTCCCTCTTTTTTTCCCTCTCTCTCTCCCCCTTTCTTCCTCTTCCTCTCTCTGGACTGCTTGCTGTAGGAGAATTTGAATAAATTAATTATTGATTTCCTTTTGCTTTTCAATAGTAAAGGTTTTCAAGCAGTATGTATTGGTTTTCTACCAAGACAGAAAATATTTTTTTGGATACATGGTATATCAGTGTAACAGGTGTAATCCATTTCTATCCCATTATATTGTTATCAATTGTTTATTGAGAGGTGATGCAGCCACATGGCTCCCACCTTTGCTTTCTCTCTCAATGGAACTTATGAGACTGGTCGTCGTTAGAGTTCTGAGGCACAGCTGATTTTTTTAGACTTCCCCAAAGGCATATACCCTTTTGAAAACAGTGGCAGGGCCAGCCCGGTGGCGCACTGCTACAGTGCCCCGCTTGGGAAGCGCGGAGGCGCTCCCGCCGAGGGTTCGGATCCCACATACAGACCGGTTCCCGCTCACTGGCTGAGCGAGGCGTGGGGGCAGCACCAAGGGTTGCGATCCCGTTGCCGGTCCCGGTCCGGTACGGGGG